GTGTGTGTGTGTGTGTGTCAGTGGGAGAAGGCGGTGTGATAAAGGGCTGGGAAGAGCGGACGTTGAATATGAGTAAAGCGGTGAAGTATAACAAGGAGCTGGGCACCTTCACTGTGGAGAAGGCCGGCGTCTACTTCCTGTTCTGCCAGGTGAGGTTAACAGTGTTGGTCCGATTTCCACTGAATATTTCTGTTTAAGATCATTTGATGTCTTTCAGCTCATTGTTTTGGTTTTTCCACCCTGTCACTCAAATGTTTTGGCTCATTCTCACGGTTCTCACCAGCTTATCAGCAAAAACAGGGCTAATAGAAGTATATATGCATAAGTATATAGTACATATACTTGCTATGTACTATGCATGTCACTGGAGTACTCCACTAGAGGGTGCACCACAGGACTCAGACTATATAGAACTTCCATATTTGCATTCTGTAAATAAAAAACTTAATAAAACTGGAGGAGGTTGGCCTACGGTTATTTCTGATCATGGCATCGTAGATGATGGCAAATATCCGCCCCTACACTGCCCTCTATCACTGATCTCTGTATTGCATTGGGCGGATGTGCAGCATTGATTTTCAAGGATGCACCGAAGTGTTCTCGTGAAAAGCAAGTATCTTCTGCCTTAGACCTATATTCATTTGTTGCTCTGCTGCCCCAAGTGGCCAAAAAAAAGAATAATGCATTTTTAAATTGCATGATTCCATATGTTTATGTTTAAAATCAAGGTCCAAATCAGATCATGGTTTTTATACATATTTCTCAATATGATTTATCCAAAAAAGTGTGGAATTTGGTACTGATACTGAAACTCAGCTAACGGATTAGGGTTTTAAAGAACTCTCAGATCCAGGATAAGCTTTGCACAACAGTAAAAGACATTTCTTTTAAAAGTAACATGGAGTTTTAATGGCACAAACAAAACTACAAAATTTTAAAAAGGCAGAAATGCTCTGCTCGTGAATTAGTTTTCCATATTCCCTGAGGTGAAGTGATGAAAAAACCAGAGATCTCTGTCATTTTTGCAACTCGAGTGAATAAATTTGAGTCTTGTGACGAAGCAGTGCACTGGCATGCGTATAAAACCAGATTGAACTGGTATGTGTATAAAACCAGAGTGTACTGGTATGTGTCATGTTTTTTAGAGAGTTGAATATCAGGTTTAGGGCAGTTTCATGCAGCCAGGCGTCCATCTTGTCAAGTCGACAGAGGTCTGGAGAAACTGCAGCCAAAAAGAAAAAAAGAAAAGAATTCTGATAACAGGACCTGGTTTGTTTTCTGCTTTAGCAGAAACTTAAGTGTTGCAGATTCTTTTCATAGCTTTACCCTCCAGAGATGAGGTTTTGGGATGATTGTCTTCCTCTGCTCTCTTTGTCCTCAGGTGTTGTTCAATGAGCAGCAGACTCCGTATGTGAAGCTGGATGTGGTGACCACCGGCCAGAAGCCTCAGAAGCTGCAGTGCATAGAGGGCTACGCGACGACCCCCTCCGCCGGGCCGCACTTTTTCCACTTCGTGAAGTCGTGCCAGGTGTCCGGCCTCCTGCGACTGGATCGAGGCACGGAGCTGCAGGCCATCACGGGCTCGTCCTTCCGGCTCCACACCGTGGGCAGTCCCTCCGCCTCGCCTCACGTCTTCAGCATCTTTAAAGTCAACTGAAGCTCAGTGCTTAGTCTGATCTGGGTTGGAAACTCATCTCAGTACAACAGAACTTGTTTTTGTATGAATGAGATTTTTATTTTTTTTCTTCCGAATGGTCAGAAGCAGCTGAGGGCATCACATCCTGCTACAGCCGCTCCTCAAAGACGCTAATTTGAAAGACAAGCCTGACATTTGCGGACGATGTTGTGGAAATTTTCTCTGGACAGTGGAACGCCAAACACCGACTTTGGATTAAAACCAAAACCCAAAGTGGACACAAGGTCTCAATGAATGTCTGCCGCGAGAACTCGTACATAAAGGGCCTCACATAAAAAAAAAAGATGTTCATCTTAGCCTCCGTATCATGTAACTAATAGTGCTTACACTGTCTTTATAAGACTGACAGTAAAGCTGTGCATGCACCTTTCACTTTTATATCACCGGTTGCCTCAAGAAGCTGAGAGCACATCTGCAAGCATCAGATCTCGACGCTATAAAAGCCAAATGAGTTGTCATTCATATTTTATACAATACAGTGTGTGTTTGTGTGTGTGAGAGAGTGTGTGTGTGAAATCTAATGAATCAAACAGTTCTTGTTTTTACTGATTTATGCTCATTACAGTTCAATGTGCGGTTTGAGTGTGATATTGCCTCTTTACCTACTTTGTATATATGTCACACACATGCTACATGTGTGCGTTTCGACTTGGCAAAGAAAGTGGAACATTTTAAATAACATGGATGTGAATTTGTGCTCTTTTCTAAGGTCAAATTTGATTGTAAGGTATTTTTATATGTTGTGTACTTGGCTTTACTTTTGAGAAGTATGCACAAGTTCTAGAAGTGTACAGCTTTGAATATATATCTTTCTTTTCTGACTTAATTATGTAATTGGTAACAAAACGTCATTTCCTGCCTATAGGTGCATCATCTGATTATGTTTTTTTTTTATCATACCGTTAAAGACACTGAGAGGAAATCTTTAAATGATATTGTAGAGGCCCTGATACATTCAAGAGTAAGTGACAATTAACTTAAGAGATTTTCATTAAAGAAGGAGCATCGTTAAGACTTATTATATTATATATTATCTGTAAAGTTCTTTAAAGTCAAGGTGTCGCAAAACAAGTCAAAGTAGTTATGTATTAAAACAAATTTACACGATTCACGTTCAAATTACGATGGAGAGTAAAATATCTCGACGTCGGAGAGCTGACGTTCTCGTTGGATTCTAAACATCGCCATTTTAGCATCAGTCACTCAGCTGACATTAGCATTCAATAAGCAAACGTTAGCAGGTGGTGAATATTGTTAACACTAACTTTCTGCTTGCTAGCATGCTAACATGAGCATTTAGCACATTAGCCTCAGAGTTAGCTCGGACTTACCGACTCGGAAGTTGCAAGCGGAACGTCCCCTCATGTCACGATTTCGTCCCAGAAGGTCGGAGGAACCTCACACCCCCGACTTCGAAATCCAAGATGGCCCCTCGGTATATCAACAGTAGTGAAAGCTGTGGTTCTTACTGTTTATTAACACTTCTGTCATTAAATGTGTCCAGTTACTCTCGGTGGACGTTTTTCTTCGGTGTCGATGCTGGAAATACCACGTAATGCCTTATTATGAACTGGTTTTGCTAACAATGGCTAGCTGGCTAACATAAACATCGTTCTTGTACAACTGAAACTCTGTTTTTGCCCAATTGTGCCTTAACTTGATTTTTTTTTTTTTAAAGCCAAAGAATAAGTCCAAATGAGACAAACGTTTCAAATCCAAACAAGCTTTCATTGTTAAACTGTCCCCGTCTTGTCGTGTTTGTGGTGAGATTGTTTCTCAGACTTCTTTATTTCTAAATGTCTCTGTGACATGGAACTCCTTCCATTCTGCCTCATCCTGTAATATTTCCTGCTACAATAGCAACAGCGTGTATTTCCAGCCGTGGGTTTCACTCCCACTCTTGTTTATAAGTAGTTTTTGTGGACAGGCCGCATTGGTTTCTCCAGAGCACTTCACCGCCGAGAGCGCAGACTTTTTAATTGGTGCCAAACGTTCATGTTTTCAAATGGAAAAAGTGTCGACATTAGACATATATCCTGTTTGATTTCCTCATCGTTTTCCTCTTCCCTTTTGTGTCTCCCCCGCACCACTTGTACGACCACATGCACCTCATATTTCCCTGTCAGCACCGATCAGACTGCACACAGACACACACACACACTGAATCCCGAGTGTCCTCTGCACATGCACACACACGCACACACACACACACACAGACAGACACACACCAGCAGCCATCTAAATTTTCACTTCCTGAATCTGAACCTGAACCACATTGCTCAAAGTCTTTGAGGAAAAACATGCCTCGTCCCTCCCCCATCACCCTCACACACTTCCCTGCCCCGATTACTCCCCCCCNAAATGTCAAAGTTTATTACCACCTCGGAAAAATCTTGTGAAGTCTGGTGAAGAAGTTTTGTGTAAAAAAAAAAAGATGATGTATGCTGCGCCTGGACATTTATTTTTTATTATTTCTTCTCAAGTCACTCATCATAAATGTTGAATAAACTTATTTTTATGTTTTTTGGAAAGTTATACTTTTTATGCTCTTTTTTATTTAATGGTGTAAAAATCAGCTTTGAATGGTGAAGAATAGAGAGTGGAAGTTATCACGATGTGGTAAAACATCTGGGCTGGATGGGATAATCCATACAGACAATTAAAGATGCACTAATCATTATTTTTGTATTAACAATGGGTAAAATAATGTTAAAGGTCATTGCTTGTAATAATGAACCCACAGATAAATATCTCTCTGGCGTTACCCTGAGCATTTTAGTATCTTGGAGCAAACGGTTTTGGTTTTATGGCCTGAAACTTTAATTTCATTGTCACATTGTGAGCATCCTCCGCAGGCTGCGTTTGAAGACCGACTGCATCCCAGCAGTGCGACCTTCAAATGCGTCCTTCCATCCCAGAGAAACGCAGGCTCCATGGGTGGAATGGTTTAAATACATTTTCAAACATCAGCAAGTTTCTTTGCTTCCAGTCAGCGACGTGTGAAACATAAGAGTGTCCAGCATTTCTATGAGTCGCTCTATATTTTTTCTATATAACTTAATCAGAGGTGACAACCTCCACAGTTTTCTTCTTGCACTTGGAATCATAAAGCTGAGATCATGTAAACTGAGAGGAATCAGTCTGTCCATCACCATGACTGAGTGACGCGATGGTGGATCAGCACATCATCACACCCTCCCACATGCAGCTCCTCCCGCGTCTACAGGCAACATTCACAGTCATCTGTCCAGACGCTTCCTGTTGGACATCGACTGTTCTCTTGCTTAAGTCAGACACGAACTTTAATGCCTTCATTTATCAAGAAGCAGCTACAAAGTGCAAACGTTCACACTGGTTTCTCACGGTTTGAGGCCGACCTGAAAAAACCTCTTGGTGGATGAAAACCTCTTGGCCAAACGCCACTTTGAATGAAACTGAGCTTAACAAACATTAAATCTTACAGCCCATTTAAACCTACAGGTGGTTTTTATTTTGACAAGGGACCGGAATCATTTAAATTATGAGTTTAAACCTTTCAATTTGAGGATTTAATGACCCCCTTTAGTGCTGCTTCTACCCCACAGTGTTAATCCCTCCTCTAGTTTGAGATATTTCAAAGTAAAGGTATATTGCTGCAACATCTGTGAAATCCACAGACCATCTTAAAAAAAATCCATACTGCAACTTTTTTTTAATAGTTTCGTTCAGTTTTATTAAAAACAAAAATAAAGAAAGAAAAAAAAGGAGAACCATCATCATTGCCACTCATCATTTGATCGGCACCACTACATCCACAGTTGCACAAAATACCCAGAAATAAACACGAAAACCTGGAAAGAGGACAGAGTAAGAGAGGAAAAGAAAAAAAAAATGAACTAAGTGCTTGATTTGACGCAACATTTTAGCTCGGGGGTTGCAAAAATGTTTGTACACAACAAAAATTGGAAATGGACTCTGACTAATTCCTGGACAGATCAGGATAAAATGTCCTGGGTTTATGGGATAAATTAACTCCTAGTTATTTGTTTTCATTTTTAACTTAAAGCAGACTTTGACTGGGATATACAGGTTGACATCAGGTTCTCAATTCATTTTACAATTGTTCAGCTGTGTTTATTAAGGCGTTTTTTAATGATGCAGTGTATAAAATGGATTTCCAGCCTCTAATTGTCAAGATAATACCCATGATTTTCTTTTTAATATTTAGGTTAGATATATTTTCATTTTGCCCTTAGAAGCATTTAGGGTAACATATGGCCTATTCTCTATATATGTATATGTCATTTGCAAGCCCCAAATCTAAAATGTAAGCAAGAAAAACAAGTTCTCTTGTACTATACGCATCTACTTCTGAAGTTCGCTCAACTTCTTCGTTTCCATTCTCCTGTAATTATAGGACAAACATGGCAAAGAGGTGCATCGTGGGTCGCACGCTCTGTATTGTTTTTTCCATTGTTTGTTACAAAAAAATGTCTCTTTTGGTAGAAGCTCTTTCTCAAATAGCAACAGCAAGAACAACAGCGACATCGACGACAACAATACTCATAATTCGCGAGAGTAAAAACACAAGAGAACACGAATGAGCTGTTTAAATATGCAAAGTATATCACAGGGTTTTTGTAGAAAGAAATAGAAACTTGGAAAAGAAATAAAAAAAAAAAACAATTGATTGAGAGAGGAGAGAACAGGGAGGGGGGGGTGTGGAGGGTGATCGATAGGATTTAATAACACTGACTTGTTTATGAAAGGTTATAAACATTCATGGGGTTTCTGCAAAATAGCGTTGTTGCGAGAACTTTTTTCTGGAACAAACCCCCAAAATACCTCAAAGAACATGAACTCGAACCCAGCGGGGGAGCTGGATGGGATGGCGGCAAATACTCTTATGTGGTCGATCGAGTCCTGAATATAGTTTTTATATTGATATCGTTATCATACCTCGCTGCGTGTGTTTTATCTAAACATGTACCATCAAAAAAAACTAAACAGGAAACAAGAAGGCCAAAAAGAAACCGCTGGAGCTGTGCTTGTCGCTGCTCGCACTGAGAAACCAGGGGTTTCAGCCGCTTTTCGGAGAATTAGAAACAGTATTGAAACGACTTTAGGCACAGCTTGATACAGATTTTTCTTTTTCTTTTTTCCCCCCCTTTCCACGAGACAGCGTTATTGTGATTAGAGCATGCTTCAGGGGATGGAGTGTGGCGGTCGAAATGTTTTTAGTTTCACATGCAGCTTCCTGTCGAGAGTTTAAGAAGCAGGGGAGCAGGAGGAAGGTTACTTGGTCTATTGAGAGATCTAAAGGGTTTAGGGTTGAGGTGTGTCGTGTGAGAGTGTGAGAGTGTGTGAGTGTGTGTGTGTGTGTGTGTGTGTGTGTGTGTGTGTGTGTGTGTGGCTGAGGATAGAGGCATCCCTAAAGGAGGAGGAAGAGGAGGCCAGTGTGAGGAGGCCAGTTATGAGGAGTATAATGGTTTGAGGCAGACAAAGAAGGTCATAAGAATCTTATGAGACTATATGGACTGTATGTACTGTAGGTGTGTGTGTGTCTGTCCATGAACAGTAAGTGCACGTGTGCGTGAGTGTTAATTACTGAAGGCGTGTGTTTTTCATGTTTTTTTTTTAGCTCCTCGTGGAGCGAGGTGAAGTTTTAGAGGATTCTCATGTGTGTTTGTGTCTCAAATGAAGCGACTACAATCACTAGCGGGTCAGTAAGTTCACCCTCAGTCAGTCGGTTTGTTTTAATACTGGATGCGTGGTTCAATGGTGCCGTCTGAAGAGCATTTACCGCCGAGACTCGACTTTCTTGGAGAGAAATTGAAGATTCATTTGCAGCAGATGGGTTTCAGTGAGTGTGTGAGTCTGTGTGTGTGTGTGTGTGTGTGTGTGTGTGTATGTGTGTGTGTGTGTGTGTTTGTGTAGTCTAGTCGTCGATGCAGATGACCTCTCCGCTGCGCTGCTCCCGCCGGTTGACTAGCAGCTCCACTTCCCGCTCCTTCTTTACAGACATGGGAGGCCCGTTCAGCACTGCAGGGGGAGAAGAGAGTTCAGTTCAGCAGGTTCAACGTGGAACTTGTCAGGACAGAAAATTTGTCTGAAAGGCGGAAGCACTGAGTTTTGGTTGGTGTGGGACATAAAAATCAGCAAAACCAAAAAATGCTGGGCCTGAGAAATCACTTCCAAAATGTTTTTTTCATTACATAAATTAAAAACACCAAGCTATTGTGTCGTGGAGCTGACAAAGCAGATATGACAAGACATCCTCGCTCACAAAATAAAGAAATATCGACGAAAAATATGTTTAAAATGAAAATTCAAGGACTGATTAGTTTTAGATTATATGTTCATTATGAAAAATGTATACACATAGTTTTCCCACTATTAAACTAATCAAGTCCAGGAAGCTCTTTAACACTTCAATAATCTTTTTAATGAACAAACAGTACATCAATATATGGAATTACATTTACAGTATTATGTGTACAAGGATGATAAAATCCCAGAATGCATATAACTGTTAACCTGGCAGAAGAGCGGCTGGCAATGAGAATAAACACACACATACCTGTCTCTGCACACACACATACATTCATGTACCACGAACACACACATGCATGGAAATGATCTTCTGCAGCGTCGGCCAGCTCAGGGATCTGTGAGCCCCACATTTTGTGCGCTATCATAAATCTGCTCGGGGAGTGGAACGGCGAGTTTAGCGCTCCTTTCAAAACAAAGCCAGGAATAGAAGAACAGCGCACTTCTCTCACCCGCGCCACAGGGAAAGATAAACTGTCATAACACCACCGTGCAGATGAAAGAAGTGATAAGGAGCGGACTGAGCCCAGGACGTTTGGGTTGGTGGGCGGTAGCGAGTTTGTGTGTGTGTGTGAGTGTCTGGACCCAGCGGGGGGACCATTTATGGGAAAACGTGTGGCATTTTGCCAGTGGAGGCCAAAAGAGGGGATGCTGAGAGAGAGAGAGAGAGAGAGAGAGAGAGAGAGGACACAGAGTCGGTAAGTTTGTATGTGTGTGTTTGGGGGGGGAGACAAAATCTGATAAGAGGCAAAACAAAATCAAGGTGAAGACTCGGTGAAAGAGCAAGAGAAGAAAAAAGATGCAGAGGATTGAGACGTGGAAGAGAGAAGACAATAAAATAGGTGACAGACGGGTTTGAGTGCTCTGGAAAGAAAAGGAACTGATAAATAAAAACTGACAGAAGACTGAGGCCCATAAAATAACAGGAAACTTCAGCACATTTAGTTTGTAGTCATCTGTCCACCAGAGAGCGCTGACAGGTATACATGTCACGCTCACGCCATAATTTAATTTATGAGAGTTTGTGATACATTCATCAAAAGAAACCAAAGCCAATTTGTTAATCACATATTTTTTTAAATCTCTTCTACTTTTTAGAAATGTTCTTTCAATGAAATTCCACTTTTTTCTACAAATAAACGCTTGATGTTTATAAACTGGAAAACCCCGTACGTTTTTATAATGAGTGGTGTGGTCACGCTGCTGTTCACTCTCTTAACGGTAGACTTAGTCCAACGATGGACGACGCGTCTCCACTTCCTCCCATTATCCAGAAATTAAGCCAAGATATCCGCCATCTTGTGCATTTGGAGCCAATCATGGGACGGAGCTACGGTATTAATATCCATTAGTGGGAAAATAATTATCCAAATGAAAAATGTATTTGATTAGATTTTTTATTTATTTGGTCCATGTCCCATCTGCTAACATGGATGAGATGGGGTTTATGACCAATACCGCAGCCAGCCACTAGAGGGTAATCCAGACGCTCTGGCTTCACTTTTGAGCAGCTCTCATGTCGTTCATCTTTATAAACAGTCTCTTGTCTATAACTGTAACCTTGCCTTTTTCTATGACTGCACCTTCACATTAAAAGCACTGAAAGTGAAACAGAGGAAGGCTTTTATTGTGAAGCAGTCACATGTGCACATAACTAGATAGAACCAACAGAGACACTGATTTATATTCTGGTGTATTTCTAACAAAGCAGCTGCCAGTAACTTAAAAAAATCTTTAACCTTGAATATCTTAGCTTTGGTATCCGCCAGAGAAACCCCAGTATCAGTCAGACTCTTACCAAAAAGGCAAATAAGGTGAAGAAGCCGTTAACAGAAGGAATTCAATGGATTACTTGTTCTGTATTAGACCAGATAACAAAGTCCAACGGATTTCACTCCCAAACTCACTGAGCTAAACTTCCCCTCTGCTCACACAACTCCTCCTCCTCTTTCTTCATATACTTCTCACTGGCAGCATTTCTTTTTGTCACAACCTGCACATGGACATACAGTATCTCTAGGAATTCTTTTAAACTCCAACTGTTTTTATTCCTTCACGAGAACAAAAACTCTGCACTGGATGTTAAGTCCAGAAAGACAATAAAATCATTCCTGGCCAACATGTGTCTCCCCTGTAGGTCCTGAATACTATCTGATGGAAGCGCGCGAGCTGCCATCTTGGCAGGAGACGTAGCATTTTTTTGCTTTGTGAAAAGCTTTTACACGAGTGTATCTGCGCCAAAACTCTTCATTCTGGTCTCTCTGAACTGTCAACCCGCTCAGGAACTACACAACAGCACAGGGCTTGATTGTCTGTTCAAATGCCACTGAGAGCAGCTTCATAAATCAATGAGGTGTGGAAGTTTATGAAAAGCAGTGCAGTTGGAAGTGTCAAGGATTGTACTCTCGAAGAATTAGTGATTTGCATATATGTGTATGTGTGTTATGTTTTCCTTAAATACTGGGAATCATGTTTTTAGTCAGAGATCTATCAAAATGAATAAGAATCCAAAACAATCACGTTTTTTCTACTGATTTGAACCCATTAAGCTGATTTAGAGCATGTGTCTGTGGTACACTGACAATTTATTAGCTGAGAAAATTGAAATGGCTCATATGTTGGACAACAGCTTCCCATTTATACGCCAAGCAGTCACAGTACAACAGAAAAATGAATGTTAACTTGTGTTTTCAGTCAGTTTTCTTTAGCTCTGTTTTTGGTCTCCACCGACCCCTGGAGGTAGTAATATTTGGCTTTTCAGCTTCTAAATGCTCCGGCTAGTTGCGTACTTTGTTTGACAGGTGGAATACTTCCTGAAGTCAGCTGCCTGCAGCTTTTAACAAGGTTGATGAGAGGAGCGGGACTGAAACAAAAACTGTAAAGTTTGGGGTCTTAATTCTGTGGGTATGTCAGCATGAGCGCGAACAGTCATTTTATTGATTGTTACCAAAAAAAACCTGATGGGTGCAAAGTTATAATTTGTCTGATTACCTTCTAATTAAAAACGCATCATGAAGGGGAAGTTTTATGTCATTTTCACAGATTTCCCAGGGAATAACTAAATAAAAAAATCAACGACTCATATCTATGACTGTGTGTCAGTTGGTGCAGCTAAATGGTCCCTGGTTTTAATAAAAAATGGAAGTGCCACCGTCAGCACACACTGCATTCCTCAATCTACACACTCACATATACACGCACACTGTATTCTCATTGCGGGCCGCATCAGTGCCACACTTTTCTGGCCTTAATGTTCTTCAAGCTGAAAGGGAAATACCACTCAATCTTAGCTTAAAAATACTCATACAGTAAGTAAGTCCTGGAAAAGTCTGGACTGTGTAACTGATTGTTCATGTCTCCTCTTTCCAGGCAAAAGAGTTTGTCCTGTTTCCCCACTCCGAGATGTCACTCTGATGTACAGCTCTACTGCACACACACATGCACGCACAACTTCCACAGATACCCGCACACACATACACACATACACACACTCAGCTGGAAAAACGATGACAGAGTCCAGAGTGTTTTATTTTCCCTGGGATCAGGGGACATTTTCCAGCGTGGAATCCATCACACTGTCACAATAAAGAAGCTCGAAGAACAAAAATGTCTCTTCGGGCTTCAAAGTGAGTCTCCGCTTCTCTCTCGGTGACAGATTACAGTCTTCGGCTGTAGGGAAGAGCTGCTCATAAATACGGTCATTTTTTTCCCCTCTTTCCTGTGATGAGGCTTTAAAACAGGAAATGTAAATACTTCACTTGAGTGATATTCCCCTTTGAGTGACCCCTCAGAAAATAAAGGTGCAATAGTAAATACGCTTTTGTAAATACAGTACATGTGTCAATACCAGCCCGTCAGAGGAACGTCGCTACTGATTGTTGGTCGAAGGCAAGCGTCTCAGTTTTTAACTATGCTTCTTGCTGATACGCTTGGTTGGACTAAGGAATGCGAGGGCAACAGAGTCCATGGGAAGTAGAGTTATATACTTAGACAATTCTTTTTTTTCTTTCTGTCCTTTTTTTTTTTTTTTTTTTAGCAAGATAAGTCCAGCTCGTCCCTTTTTCTATTTCAAGTCTGGATCTCATCTGCACATACTCGGCAGACATATTAACTTCTTTGCAGGTTTTCAGGTTGTGTGTGAGGTCTAGAGTGTGTGTGTGTGAGAGAGTGAGAAAGAGAGACGGAGGAGTGGAGGACTGTGGAAGAATGAGGGAGTACGGGGTCAGAGCGAGGGGGGCAGGCTTGTTCAGTCAGCCGGCAGATGAAGAATCGATCCAGGGGGAAATCTTTCTTTTTTTTTTCGGCGCGGAGGGAGAAACAGAAAAAGTCGTCGTCTTGAGAAATCTGTCTGAGGCAGAATAAAAAATAAAAAAATCCTCTTTCCTTTGTTGCATTTTTCTTCAATTCGACCGTCATATTTGAATTCTTGAAAACCTGTGATTGCATTAACATACCCTCTTTTTTTTCCATTCTTCGTTCAGTCCAGACATATTTCCTCCTAAAGTCAGATTTTTGGGCCTTTTTTTCAGCAGCTCCTTGCTTGAGGATTTGTTTGTTCCAGACAGGTCATCTCTCCTTTTTTCTTTCTCTCTGACTCATTTTCCTCCCACGCATCATTAGTGCTTGATCTCAGGGCCAGCTTTTCACCTCTCCCTTGGTATTTTGGATCTCTCTCTCTCTCTCCCCCCCCCCTCCGTCTCCCTCTGTGGTTGATTGCTTGTTTTATTTTGTGGACCATAGTGCCAGTACTTCTTTTCACTTTTCATGTCCTGTCCTTTTTGCTTTCTTTCGTACTTACTCAATCTACCCAGCGAATTTGCTTCCCCCTTTATATCCCTCACATTCCAGCAGAGTTAAGGTGCCTTGTCCTTGTCCTCCTCGTGCATTCAGGTTTTTCATCTCTCCTTTTCTGCTTCCACCGTCTCTTTTTTTTTTTTGCTACATTCCAGGATTCTTAAATCCAAATGTCCTTCCTTTCTTTCTCCCCCTTGTCGAGTCTCTCAGTTTAACCTCAGGGTTTCTTTGGTCGGCCATTGCGCGGTAGGTTTTCCACCGTGTTGCTGAGCCGGTACTTGACAATGATGCTGTGCACCGTGGACTTGGGCATCCTCAGCTCCTGCCCGATGGCCCCTTCTGACTTGCCGTCCTTCCAGAGGTCCACCACTCGCTGCCGCTGCACCACATCGTGCTCTTTCGTCTTCTGGCAAACGCTGGCAGCGGTTGGCCCTCCGGCGGCTCCCCCAGCAGCTCCCCCGGTGGCCCCAGCAGCGGCGGCGGCTTCTGTGGGGGCAGACAAGCGGCAGACTGTAGTGGAGACTCGGAGCAGGGGAGCAGGATAATGTGACACTTTACTGGTCCCCGTAGGGAATTCTCTTTTTGTCTGCCTCCCGCCTCTGCAGGGAGGTCAGAGGTCAGAGATGGTAGGGAGCTACTGGAGCTGGCGGGAGTTCGATGTCCTGCTCAAGGACACTTCAGCAGGGCAGGTGCTTGCAGACATGAGGGCTCGACTCCATCTCTCTAATTTCTAAATCAATAAAAGATGTTTTGTCTAGAATGGACTCCTCTGAGATGAGCAGCTTCCTCAAGGAGGCACTGACGGCTGAAACAGGTTTTCCAAAATGTGATTCAACATAAATATTCAGCAAATGCAGAGATAAAGCCATGTGAGAGACAACACAGAACACTGCTCCTTCACAGGAGCATTTGCTGCATCGTTATGATTTGTAGCAGGGTTCACAGAGTGCAGCTAAAGAAGTAGGTGCGTAGTTAAAGTGCCATGCAGGGCAGACATGCATATTTTTGGACATGTTTTGTGTACTTAAGTGAGGGAGCTTTTCTCAGGAGAGTTGTCGTTAATGGAGGGAAGCTAGGAGGTCACAAAATCAGAGGGCTGTGTTGTTTTAACTCCGTCCAGTTCTCCTGCTCACTTTCTTCCCCCTCCTCTCTGGCTGAATCTAAAAAAGGTCAGGAAGCAGCGGAACCCCAATCAAGACCACAAACGCGGCCTCATTTGCTGCGTGCCTCTGCCCTGCCAGAGGTTCAGGATGTTCTGAGGCAGCTCGGCCGCCCTCAGCCTCAGCTGCTCGCCACGAGGCCTCGCGAGCAGAAAAACCCGCGGAGCGACACAACTCGCGCGTGACTATTTCTGACCGGCTTAGCCGTCCGCCGCTTCACAAGTCGCAACACAACATTTACACAACTAAACTCCTTCTGTGGTTTCTGTCCCTCTCAAAATACCTTGGTACAAAGTCCGAATGTTTTCTTGGCACGGCCCGACTCAGACAGGCTGAGCATAATGACATTTTCAGAGATAGGCTCTGGCTCTCTAAAATGCAATGCCTTTGACAGATGTCTCAGTCTACAATTACATAAATCAAGATACTCTGAGTGAGAGGCAGGCAGAGTGCTGAGGGAGCTGGCTGTTGTGGTTTTTAAGGGCAAAGCTATTGGGCCATATCAGGTTTTACCAGTTATCTCTGCCACATCTCAGCTATCTAAACATTCTCCAAACACGAACGCACATGCAGAGCGGAGAATGTGTCTGGTGAGCATATGTTGTTACCAAACTAATTATGAGCAAATAAATTCACAAACTGCCTGAGCACACTGACAGACTGCAGGCGAGGGGATCGGACAAGAGGCCAAAAGCGAAAAAAATTCTTTGCCTTTTTTTTTTTTGTTTTTATGGTTTTAATTCTAAACCTTTTAAACTGAATAAGTAATCTGCGCCAAAACACAACAGCTCTTCACAAGAGAAAATACACACACTCGAAAAAGAAAGAAAACACTCCTCCGGCAGGTCTGATAGCACAGACTGTGCTTTTATTGTTGCACAATGTGTCACTACTCCTCAGCAAAGCATTAAGGTTTTGAGGTCGGACATGTTGAGAGATGAAAATGCCTTAATATAGCAGAGCAGCACGTTTGTGTTTGATTTCGGTAATGTCTATTTCAGGTGTTTATCTGGCAGCCACATCTGAAACTCCGCTACAGATGTTTTTTTCCAATATTGACTCCTCTCTGGATTTTGAAGGTTTCACAACTTAAGCTGCTCGGGGAGATAAAGTGTCCATTCAAAGTGTTTAAATGCTGCTGCTTTAGAAGCAATCAAAGAGTTCTTTACTCCACATATTTAAAGATTATATTGAAATGTTATAGTTAAATGGCGCTGCCCTTGATCACTAAAGTTCCCACAGTCAGTAATTTTCGTTTTCTTCGCCAAATGTTTTTCCACAACAACATAACCATATAAAGATGGAATTCCTCAGATGATATCTTTGAATAAGGGAAATATTTTTTGGACGGGTCTTGCCCATCATCAGTGAAAGCTGCCAAGTAATAAACCCAGATCTCTGGAGCCAAATTTGTGCTCGTCTGTCAGGGTGTCGTGGAGCCTCTGGAGCTCAGCTGGAGCTCATGTGCAGCCGGCTGCAAACAGTACAGCTACAGATACACCACAGGAACTGTAATTGGTCAGTTGGGGCTGCTTGTGTTTTCTCATACAAGTTTATGATGCCAGTAAAGACCGTGGATGGTAAAGGAGACATAAGAGCGAGAGGACGGCCCAGTAATCCTCTCGTTTTCAGTAACACTGCACATGCTTACATTATGAGATAGTAAGTGCAACCACCGCTCTCTACCCTGTGAACTGAAAGACTCAGCAAAATGTAAAATAATATTCACAAGGCTTCATCTCTTCTCCTCCAGATTATCTGCTCTTGCTCATACAGGAGTTAGGACAAGGGTCAGGGTTAGATAAGTTCTTCCAGGTGTATTGAACTCTGTTGGAGGTGTTTACCCACCTTGATGACCCTTAAAATCCCTGAAATACCCTCTAGAAATCTCCTGAGACCACCAGGACCTTGTGAAGAACCTCGATAACTTCCTCAATGACCACCAGAACCTCCTCAATGACCACCAGAACCTCCTCAAGAACCACTTGAACCTGCTAAATGACTACTAAACCTCCTACAGTCATCTGCAGAACCTGTTTAACAACCACTTAAACCTTCGAAACGACAACGTAAATTAACTCTTAAAGGACACATGTTAATTTTGAGTTATCTCTCGTGTGTTGCTATAATTTGTGTTTGTATAAGTTCTGTCTGAAGCAGCCTCTTCCTCATTTCAGACCTTCTCAATAAGCACAACAACCTAATTCAATTCTGTAAATATTGTATAGAAGAGGTGAATGAAAGGAAAGTCAAGGACTCAACATTGTGTTAGGAAGGACACTATAGGACAACACCACAATAATATGCAATTGAAAAGGAAAATCATGTGTTCAATGTTCAGGACAAATTAGAGCGTGATGGATTGACAGATTACACACAGGCTTACAGACGATTAGAGGTGTGGTTTAAGATTAGCTAATCTAGTTAAACTCCTTTAATTTGTCAACTGTCAGCATCTTTTGTTGTAAGACAAATATTTTCACAATAAAATCCCTCACTTTCCTCCCTCAGTAATTATACTTTTTCACGATTCATCTTGAAGTTGGCTGAGTGCGTGTGATTTGAGGTGTCAGGCGAACCCACCCATCATATAAAACCGCACTTGACCGTTAGCATGTGCGTGGCAGCAGCCGCAGGGCTGGACAGATGCAGTGTCATGTTAGGAGCTGTTAATGGATTTTTAAAACTCACACAGACCCATCACAACATTAAAACTGGTGACTGGTTTGTGTTGTGGCTGATATATTGTGTAGGTCAGTGACCTCTTCTGAAAGAATTCATTCGGAAGCATCAGTGATGTGATTTACAACTGATACAACAGCTTTTATAGACTGATTAATCCTCCTCGTGAACTTCATGCATAAAAACAAATCTTTGCACACATTTGTTTTATGGTTCATATCTGATCATCATCAGCTTCTATTACCCATAACTAAAAGAAACACATCAGGTACACAAAGAAAGCACAACATGACTTTGTCAAGCACTAAATCTACAGTTGCTGTGGTGCTGGAACAATCAACAGGTTAAACTCTTGGCCGAGCCATAAATCAGTTCCTCCGCCAGAGGCAGCTTCAGTGATCTGCAACAACACCTCCGCAAAGAATCATAAATCAGGCGCAAATAGCCAGCCTGCCAAGTGTCAAACAGATCAAACAAACTGCTATTCTTCTTCTGTAAATTACACCGAATGCTATAATTATGACTGCCATTATATTTTATGAGGTTTATCATCGCTGAGTGTAACACTTTTCTCACACTCAGTATTTGCATGTGTGCGTGACATGTTTCTTAACAGAAAACTTAAATACTTTGTAAATAAGATAAAACTTTTCCTGTGAATAAACTATGTATTTGAACATACATGCATTCAAATAAAAAGTATAACAAATGAAATACTAAGGTGCAAAATGACCATTTCTAAATGAAAAATGTAAAATATTCCACAACATGTGCTCGACCAATCAGGACTCAGTCTTAATTTACTGGAAAAACTACCATTTGAATAGACATCAGTGTGACAGGAAGCTAAACAGACAGAAACCATCTTTGAGATGAATGTATTTGATGTTTACTTGACTTCAAAGTTTGATCCATGTCCCACCCACTAACACGGAGGAGGCGGGATGTATGATTCTCCAACGTGTGACCTAGACGTTATTTATAGCACTAGAGCCCGTCTGTGTCAGCGCAGCTCCAAACACTGACCTGATATGAAGGATCCTGGTGGCATCTGACTGTAGTTGGCCCCTCCCATGTACAGGGCGCTTGGGGGTGCAGGGGTGAAGGGGGCTCCATAGTTCTGGGGGGTGGCGTAGGGTCCTGGCGGTATGGGCTGTGTAAAGGAAAAGAAGCTTTTATTTCCACGAACGACGTACACACAGGAAATTATGTATAAAAACAAAAAAACAGAACAATAGGGAAAATAAAACAGGTTTTGATCCATGCAAGCTGACAGAAAAATGTGCTGACTAAGCTGCTGTGGAGTGAAATAGCGCAGGTGGGTGGGTGACAAGATAATGGGCTCTGTATTTTTATTGGCCGCCCTCCATTTATTATTTTTCCACTGAGTGCAGGAAGGCTTGAGCAGGTTTTAACGTGTGACTGTTAAATTGTGTGTGTGTGTGTGTTGTGGTTGGCGTCACTGACCGGGGGCGTGTGCGTCTCTGTGCCCTTGCTCGCCAGTCGGCTGAGGATGCTCCTCTCGGACATTTGCAGGCGGGCAGCGATGGGTGGAACCCTGGACAGCGTGGCCGGCAGCCGCGTCACGTCAGCCTTCATGTCGCTCAGTAGCTCCTCCAACTGGTTCAACACTGCAATGAAAACAACAGACATCAAATGGCTATATTGACTTAGAGGAAAAGACATAACTTTACTTATGATCAATATTTCCATATTTCAGCTTCTAGCTCCTTTTGGGCATCATATTAAGTACTGATACTTTATTTTGATCGCTTTTTGATTATGCAGGAAGAAAAGCAGGTTGATATTACATTACATTTACATCCAGAGTTACACCACTCAAGAAATAATGAGGCAGCATACAAACGTTTAAAAGTTCTTCGTACTTCTTTAAAAGCTTTTTTGGTGTCGTTTATGTGGTTAAATGTCCCAACTTGTCTCAACTTCTTTACCAAAAATTCCTGTTCCCATCCTTTATCGTCTTTCGCTCTGCTATCAAATCCCTACATGAAATGTATCACTGGTTTCGGATTGGCATCACAGCTCAAAAATTTGCAGAACGTTTATTAACTTCAGCTTGGCTACGTGCAGAAATACAAGACAAGGACAAGAACAGTCGTGTGCTGAGCATGTTATCCTTTCGACAGACCAATTCAAACACGGACAGACTTGCCAGGCGGTCGGTGAGGAAATGTTTGGAGCTATCACTTAACATCGTGTAAGCTTATCTGCTTGGCTTAACTGCAGTCCGCTCCAAGCAGAGCTGTATGGTTGTCGGTGCAGGAAACAGCGATTGCACAACAGCGCTGGTGTGATGTGTTGATGATGTAGTGTATTTCTTGTTCATATGGTTTGCGGTTATCAGTTTGCTGATCTTTCCCACTGTGTCTAAGCTTCTCTGTCTGCCTCTAACAGTTTTCAATAACACTACAAAAACACATTTAGAAAATGGAGATTTTTATCTCTAATTATTGACCTCTCTGCATGATCTCTGACCTTTGTGCAGGACAGCGTTGGCTGGCTTGTTTCCTGCCAGCGACTCCTTGCTGAGGTGCTGGTGCGACTCCGCCAGGCACTCCACCTCTGCAAAGCGAGCGTTGAGTGCCATGGCTGGGTGGCTGGGGTCCTGGGTCATGTTCAGGTAGGCCGCCCGCCGCAGCTGCTCCTCGATCACGAGCGCCTGCTCCAACAGCTGCAGGACAGGGACACGTAAATGTATTAAATTACAACGTTGAACATTGGCAGTATTACAAACTTTAAACCAAAATGACAGCAATGTTAAGAGAATTTGCACTTCAACACACAGATATCTGTTATAATATATCAAACAAGGGAGTTGCTTTGATTCCCTCTTAAAAAACGTTTGCCAACATGGAACGAGAACAAGCAAGAGAAAGACTGAAAATGAAAAAAGTGCAGCAGGGTGGAAATGTTTATTTTGGTATTTCTTATGCAGATGTGTCGGCAGACTGCTCAACACATTTTTACTCAACCACTGCATCACACAAACATTTTCTCAGAGTTAACAGAGACTTCTTATAACTTAAGCTCCCCCTCTGCACAGCTGAATTCACAGTTTGCAGCTGAGGCCGCTGATTACACCGACAAGTGTTGGATGCAATTCATCATGTGGCGATCTGAAGAATCCCCATAAACTAAAAGAAAAAAAAATATTGACTTATAATCCCTAAGCTAAATGTAGTCTAAAAAACAGACAACCCAATACAGAAATGAATATCTATGATATATCAGACAGGGAACTGATTTTCAACGTGGCTAACCAACAAAATTGACAAAAAAATGTAATATTCTTGTTTATATTACAATATGTGTGATATACAATTTTTTGGATGTCTTTAGCTGTGATTCATCTGTTGTTTCTCGGAGATATCAGGGTTGTGGTTTGCATAGTAATGATGATAAAGCCTTTTCATGGGAAATCTATTTCGAGTTAACGTGTTACACAACTAATTACAACAAATATTAATCCAACGGAAAATTGGTGCGCATGGTGGTTGCCTTGTGCAACCTCGATGTTTGATTTTCGAAAAGTAATTTAGCAAGAGAGAGATAAGACGGAAAAAAAGAGAGTGTGACAGACAGAGAGATACAGTAAATGAGGATGTTGAGGGCAGGATCTGAAACATGTGAGCTTCTCAAAAACAGGATGAGAGATCTTTCAGAATTGCAGCGGTCAGCAAGACCATCCGGCCGACATGTGGGACGAGGGGCATATGTCATCCGACCATCAAGCCAGTCAGGTGATTGACGAAGCTGAGAAATGTGATTAAAATAGTTTGGCTGCTTTAAAGGTTCAGTGTGTAGAATTTAGTGACATCTAGTGGTGGAGTTGCATGTTGCACCTCTCCCTCCCCTCCAGACATGAACGTGAACCTGTGGTAAACTTCAGCTGTCTTTAAAACTCAAAAGATTTAGTTTGTCCAGTCTGGGCTCCTGTAAAAAACATGGCAGCAGATCTGACATAAAGGAAATTGAGCTTGAATTTATAATTCCATACCACAGTTTTCAGTTTTACTCCTAGAACAAAACTAACTTACATGTCAAACACATTCACTTTGAGATACAGAAAATATAAGTTTGATGAAACCCAAAATATTAAAAGCACCACCGACAAACAGAACAATAAAAATACAATGAATAAAAATGTCCAAATGGTTTTCGAGTTCTGGTGTGAAAACAGAATGAGAGACAGATGGAGATACTGATGATCGCTATCGCCCCACAACATGTGAGGGGGTAACAGAGAGTAGAGAAACATTTTTATCTCTCATTTTCTATTTTGTATCAAAATATGAAATAAAAACTTTAACTTAAAATAAAAAGTCTCTGAAAGTGGAGGTGAAGCTGTAGCTGTGTTCCGTCTTTACCTTAAAGCGTCGAGCCAGAAACTTGTTCTTCATCTCCAGGAAGTTGCCTTTATTCGCCTGCATCTTGAAAGGCTCGTTGACAATGGCGAACTGGGGATCATTCTGGATGTCCTGCCACCGGGCGTAGCCGTGACTGGCACAAAGGTTAAAGGTCATGAAAGAGCAATCGGAGGACAGCGTGTAGCAGCACTGTGTGGGTCGTCTTAAATACCTCAGTGATTATGTTCAACAGGATGAAGCTAAAGAAGCTAAAATTAACTTAAAAAGATTCTAAAGAAAAAAAATAAGTTTCAGTTTCTCTCATTCAGTTTCAGTCTAACAGCACCTGAGCAGACTTTTCCTTAAATGCTGCATGGCCTGAATTAGCATAATAGAGAGAACAACATGAACTAAATGACCTACAACCGTGGAGAAGGTTGTAACCACACCAACGTCCAGCAGACACAGTTTGCTGTTTACTGAGCTCTCGCTGGCTTGTTGACTTATTGCACTGGGCTTCTGCCGGCTGATAGAAAAATAAACACATAAGGGTCATCGCCCGGGCAACTGCTGTCAAGGATACATCACAATTCCCGCCAGCAGCCAGAAGTCGTGTCGGCGGTGCCAGATCTCGTTCATCTTCCCCGAGGAGATGGCAGCCCGCTCCTCGTTCTGCCAAAGAGTGTGCAGCTCTGCGGGGGTGAAGCCAGCGTAAAAATGAGCTTGGTCTCAAAGTGCTTAGCAAGCTGAAACCTGGCTGCAGGTGTTTGCACAGCACGTGGAGCTTTTCTGCCTTTGTGGTCGAGGCGGAGATAATTTTTTAGCTCACTGTTGCTTTTGTAGAGACGCTCTGAAAAGCAATTTTTCCATGTTGTTTAGACTGCTTAGTAACCTGTTTGCTCAACCTTATTAGTTATTTTCACCTTTTCACCTTCTCGTCATCTTTCAGGGATTCTGACTCTAATCTTCTCGAACTTTAAATAGACTTGTCTCTAGTACAATTCCAGTTTTCCCTGGAGTACGCAAATCTATGTACAGATACCACATCTTTAAGGTTTATTGGTGTAAGCAGTTTGGTAACATTTCATGCTGGAAAGTAAAACCACGATATGCACCGTATAAGACTTAAGTTTCGAGCTATATAAAGGAGGTATCTGTATTCTTTTTCAGTTGTGGCTGTCGAGAGACTAGATAATAAAAGTTCTATGATATTTATTCTCTGAATGTATTTGTTTAACCTGAGCCAGGCCACACAGCAATAACAGCAATCATCACTTCCCAACAGAGTTAGTAGCTTACGGCTGTTATATAAATTGTTATTGTTAAAATTGCACTGGTGTCAGATTGGTACTCAGTATCGGCCAATACGCAAAATCCAGGTATCGGAATCTGTTTTAGGAAGGGAAAAACTGTGTCAGAACATCTGTACTTATAATATAATGATAATTCTTTTCAATGCATGTTTAAAAAATGTTTTCATCTGTCATAAAATCACCCTACACATGTTCTTTAAATACATAACATACAGTAACACACAGATCTGTGCATTCCATCCCACGGTCACTGTAGGTAAATCAGTAATCACCAGTGAAGCCGCCATCTGCGATGTTGAACATGAAGCGCGGCCGCTCAACAGGAGGCTTCCCGTTACCTCTGGGCGCCTCCTCCTTCGCTGCTTTGACGTCTTTTCCAGCATCTCTTTCACCTTTGACCTCCTCTGTTATTGAGAAAGATAGTAAAGGTGTCATTGAGCACAGACTCGTCGTACGTGTTCACAGACGAGTGAGACGCACCTTTCTTCACGTCAGCCACCTCGGACTCCTTGGTGTCTGTTGCTTCCGTTGCCGTGGGCGTCTCTTCGCGCTTTTCTTTGTCTTTTTCCTTCTTTTCCGCCGCCTTCTCTCCCTCTGTGTGAAAAAAAACATAAAAATAAGATAAAGAGGACATCAGATCTCATCCAACCAAGTTATCAGTTTATTCACTTTCTCTCTTGTGTTGTTGTCTTTACCCGATTTCTCTTCTTTTAACTCTGTGTCTTGTTTCGTCTCTTCTTTGCTTTCCTCCTGCGCTTTCTTCTCCTCGGTCGTGGCAGTTGGAATGTCTGAAGTTTCTTTCTTCTCCGCCTCTTTCAGGTTGTTCTCCTCTTTGTTTTCGGCTTTTTGACCAGGAGACGCACTCTGCGGAGTCTCTTTTGTTGAGGAAAGCTAAGGACAGTGACAGAATTAGGGATCAATAAGTTGGTATATACTGTACTGGACTGCATGTTTAATATTTAATAACACCACACCAAGCCAGAGTTGTGCATGTTTTTCTCTTTTAGTTATTAATTTCATTTATGTAACAGTCTCCTTGCTGCCGTGTTTTTGATTGTGTTGCATCTATGATTTGGTTTCAAATGCAGCTGTACAATCAAACTTGTTAACCTGCTTGTTAATTTGAAGTTTTTGTCATTTGATGATACTGTGGTGTTTGATTTTCACGATGTGTGAAAGTGACCAGGAAATACTGGCTGCCTTGGATAAAGAAAAACACACAAAACTGTGAAGCGTGCCTTACAAACTTTTTGGCAGTAAAGTAAAATATGTGATTTGAAGGTTTGATAAATTCAATAAAATAGACCTGAGTTCTGCAGAAATGTGGAAACAGAAATTAAAAAATATCAATTGGCTGATTAGGAAAATGTGGTGAGTGGCCAATCAAAGCCTCAAAATAAAGTTTTCGCTGTTTCTTGTGTTTTGAAAAAAGTGTCCCACCTCTTCAGGGTCTCCAGTCTTGTTGCCGTCCACCTCTTTCCCCTCATCCTTCTCCTTCCCTTTCTCCGACAGGGTCTCACCTTCCTCTTTGTCCTCCTCCTTCTCTCCCTCTTTTCCGTTCTTTTCCAGCTTGTCTGCAGGAGCAGGGGTCGCTGCACATGTTCATACAAATACACACAAACACACACAATATGCGGGTGATGTTCAACGGATGCCCTTTACATGGAGCGCCCCCTGCTGGATCTGGCACATGCATGTATGGTTACCTGGCTTGGAGGTGCATGGTGTGTTGCTATAGCTGGCGTCTGGTGTGGGTGTGGCGGTCTTCACTGCAGGGGAGGAGGCCCTGGAGGAGGATTTGTCCACGTTGACCTCAGGCTTGAGCTCTGGGAGACTCCACCGTCCGTTGATGTGCTCAAACTCCTGGATCTGAACACAAAACACACAGATATAAATTTTAAAAAACTTGGCACCCATACACTTCACCGAGTATTACCTTACTTAACCTCACCACCCACATGGCCTATTTGTCTGGGAGTAAATCATGTTATCGCTGTGGCTTAGATTGTGGATCAGGATGTCAACAAGTATTAACAATTTGGACTGAAAACTAGATTAAAGATGTTTAGATAAACTAAAATAAACAGGGAAACTGGAAGTAGTCAAACAATCAGAACATCTTTAGAGATATCACTTGCTTAGAAAAGGGAAAGACCTGAAAATGACTTACAGTCCACCTCTCTAAGCGTCAGTGCACACACTGTTAATGTGGGATCACACCAAGTTATAGTCCTTAATAATTTCAAGACGTCAAATCTTATATTTTGTTATTACTAACAGCTGTTTACTCTCCTGCAACAGCATCACACTTGTATTAAGTTACCACTAATGCAAACCAAACATTTCTTCTTCCTGCTGCTGCTTTGCATTAAACACGTCAGCTAGCGCCACGCAGCTTTTATTGTGAAGCAGTCGAAGGGGAAAGCAGCGGATTTGTCACGGGACCGTTCGACAATACGGACATACGCACAATGATACAAGAGTCACTTTAGGCACGACTGATGAGACAAGAAGTGATGAAATAAGTAGAGTTAAACGGCAACAGGCTGCGCAGCTGTTTCTGACTAATTATCATTTGCCTTTGTATTAAACTACACTTGCTGTTGCCACGGTAACCGCTGAAATGGAAAGGATTAGAGCGTCAAGGTTCCGAACTTGTTTTGTTCAGCACATTTGTTTGGACACCACAGACTATATATGTATATATATAAATAAAGATGTAGGACATGAAAGTGATGCCAAATCAGCTTGATCGCCCTCTGGTGGCTGGCCGTAGTATAGGTCATAAACCCTCCCTCCGTGTCAGTTGATGGGATACGAGCCAAAAGGTGAAAGTGCACGATAGATACATTTTTAATTTTATATTATTTTAATTAGTTATTTGACGTTATAAAAATGAGGTGAAACATAATAGACTCCACTCTATGATCACTGCTGCACAGACTCTGGTTACAACATTTTTTTGTTTGACAGGAGGAAGTGGAGACACGTTTCGTTCCATTCCATTTTTCTCTACAGTCTTTTCTTGACACTTGAGGGCAAAAAGCTCCAGTCTGACCTTCTTTTTGACGAGGGACATGACGCCAATTCGCGTGAGGACCGGCTGACGACACAGGCCCTCCCTCGGGACACCGTCTGCAAACGTCTCAGCACCGTCAGCCACCGGCTCGCATAGGTGACGCATAAACAGAGACACGTAAGCTCTGGGACAGAAGAAGATAAAAGAGAAATATACGGTTAAACGATGGACACAAGTGGAGAAAGCTCATGTTTGAACAGTTTAAAACTGAATTTCTTACTTGAATTCTTTTTCAGTCTTGCCCCTGAGGTCCCTCACCAACCACTGAGAGGAAAACGCGTCCTGAGACGGCATCCCCCAGCGCATCACTGCGTTCAGGAAGGCCTTTCGCTGGCGTGTGTTAAAGCCCAGCACCTATCGATGGAAATATTTTAAAGATATTCCTGATGGAAAATAGAACGGTGGAACTAATACCAGGGAAAGAAAGACAACTTAGCCGACCAGGTCTGACTGCCTAATAACAGCAAACTAAACTTTGAATCCTATTTGAACAATGTCGCTCATTATAATCATGTCCACCACCATCAGGATGGAGTTCAAGAGGTTCAGCATTGTTGGACATGAAATAGCTTTGCTGCCACGTCCAATTTAATATTGTTAGATTGCTAGAAAAATAACTACGAGTGCAAGTTGACTTTAAACACAAACTGACAGATTCCAGTAATATCACAATTAAAATGATGGAAATGAAAGCAGGGCTGGTTTCAGGGAGATGTACAGACCTCGAGGTTGCCTCCGACTCTGGCCAGGAGAGGAGGCAGAGGTTTATCTTTCTCATTCCTCAGCTGGCGACGCGACTGCCTTCGACCTGCAGATCAAAGTGGGCAAAGAAAATATTATGACAGCAATAGTCTTTTTTTGGATGTTTTAAATTTGCACATTGTGCAGACTTTTCTTAAAATCTACAGTCAATAGATGGACGTCAACTTTCAAATTAAAAACTCCTGAAACGCTCGGAGCACTTTCCTCTCAACTGACAGAAGGAGGAGGTGGATGGCGGTTTTGCATTTTTGGCAATGCGATTTGTTCGACTCTGCCAAGCAACTGTAACAACTAAATCAATTTCAAACTGTAATTTAACACAGGCCTGATACAGTGTGTGTTACAACAGGAATCTCTCGCAGCTCTGCTTGACGTATCCCTCTCTTTTTCTAAAATCTGAAAATCACTCCTCACCCTCTGGTCGATCGTCAAAGTCCTCATCCTCCTCCTCGGAGCCCACTGAATACTCGGACTGGTTATCTGAAATGTCAGCATGCCACTCTGAAACAGCACATGGTGGTCTGTCAATAGGCCAGGCCCATTCACGTCCACTGCACAATAGCTCAAACAGGAGACAATAGAATCCTTGGATCATATGATTAAAATAAATCATAAATTTAGAAAAATGTTTTACTTTTGTCCTTCTGCGGCAATAATTCTTAGGATCAGAAAAGATGGTTTCATTTTTGAATCATGGATTTCCCAAAAGAAACTTGCTGCCAACATGGCTCTGATTCTGAGGTTTCACTGTCATAAAACAAGTCAGATGACGGTTATGAGACATTTTCAAAACAACCAAACCCAGACGCTACCTTGGTCCTCCTGTGCTGCGTCATTGTAGTTGACGGGCTTGCGGTTCCTCTTGCCTTTACCCAGTTTGCTGGCAAGGTCCTCCTGCTGCTGCTCGTAGTGATGCCGCAACAGTTTCTCCCAATAATCAGGATCCACGTTCTCCTCCTGTTTGATGATCTCCCGTTCGATCTCCTCAATCTGGAACATCAGATTAAGTAAACAAAGTTTAGAAGTGGTTTTATGAAACTCTTTTCAAAAGTGTAAAGTGTAAAGAAAGTAACAGTGCTGCAGAGTGTATCGCAGGTGACAGTGATTAACTCTGATATATAGATTGAGATTTAACCACTTAACTGTCTGTATGCTGCATCATAGTATACATGTAAACATATATATCATAGTACGATGCATGAAACAATGAACTTTCTTGTTTTTTACATATTTATACTTTATATCTCTATTTATTACAATGCTTAGTCTGTATTACTCCTGTTTGGAGCAACTGTAACAAAACCAACATTTGCACCAGGGATCAAAAAGTATCTGATTCTGAAACGTTTCCTGCAGAGGAAGAAAGAATCACGACCCTGCATCATTCAGTAAATGATGAACATGTTCTATGAAATGAGAATAAACTTAATTTAAATGTGAAATGTGACTGTGAAAGTCTTGTTCACTAGAGATTTCCAAAGCGTGGGTTATAACTGGGCCTCAGGACATCTGCTACTGAGCTGAATCCTCACTTCCTCTACAATCATATACAGATTTTTCTATCATGCAACAAATGGTTCTTTTCATCCTGGGATATTCTGCTTATTATTTCCTTGATTAGCCAATAAATCATTTGCTGCATAAAACATTAAGTCCAGTGTCACAGAAGGAGACAAAGATAAGCAGGAAAAGCTGGACACAGCCATAAATTCTCCACTAATTGTTTCAGCTCTAATGAGCCGTGCACAAAATGCATGTTAGCGCACAACCTGGGTGTTGCCGAGTCATCCATCTGTATTTCTTTAATTAGTAAGTAAACATAATAAAACACAAACCAAATAAAGTTAGTGATTTCGCTCGTGTTGCCCTCTCTTCTCTCCCCCTCTGTCATGCTTTAACGTCTATATATCGAGGGTAATCTGTGCACAGGGAGAATAAACGGAGAATTTGTGCCAGAATTAAAACTCAAATGATTAACGAACATGTATGTGAACCCGGAAACAATCTGGGAGACGCTCTGTCCACTTAATCTTCCACTGTGAGTGACTGCAGGGCATAGAGTACAACTGCTCTCCACAATAAACTCCCACCTCCTCTGCACCCCGGCCTGTCGGCCAGTCCACAACAAACAAACAACACTCCTGCACCAGTCCTCCCACTCCTTCCTTCAGTCACATTTCCGTTTTTTTTTTCTACCCCCTAGTCTTCATTTTATGTCACTCTCACCTTATCCTCCTCTCGGACCATGTACTGGGCCACTTTAAAGGAGCTCAGGTACTCGTTCATGTTCTGGACGTCCGAGTCATCCGTGGCGTCCTGGCTTCGGTCCAGCAGCCTCTCAATGGCAACGCTGTCGTAGTGGATGACGTTGCCTTCGTCCTCGACTTTATCCCCTGTGGTATTTTTCATACCTGAAGTTAAAAAGTGGAAAGGATTGGTCCTCCTCTTCCATGTCACAAATAAAAATGTTCCTGTCAACCAATTAAAACCTGCACAAGACAAGCGTTCACCTCCGGCCAACTTTGTCAAGAGGAGAGGACGTTGAAGTGAGTGTGTTGTGACAAAATAATTTCACTCAGGAGAAGACGCCTGCCAATTTTCCTCTATTCAAATCAAACCTGTTCCAACTTCGACCCGAAACCCAACATCATTAGATTTGACTGAAAATCTTAATTTCATTTGACAGAGCTTGTCCACTTCTAATTTTCTCATTTAAACGGTATCTGGTGTCACCTTCTCCCTCATCCTTGAAGAGCTCTTCTGTTCCAAACTTGAGGATGTCATCCAGTTCCTGTTTGGACATGGAGCCTGCCTTGGATCCGAGGCCTGGCCGGACCACCAGGTGGGTCAGCATCATTTTCCTCTTGGCCACCTGGGTGATACGCTCCTCCACGCTGGCTCGGGTCACAAAGCGGTAGATCATAACCTTGTTGGCCTGCCCGATTCTGTGGGCTCGGCTGAACGCCTGTGTACAGAGAGGGAGTGACAGATTGAACACATTCATTTCATGTCGGATACGAGGACTGTTGTAAAGTAGATAATCAAGCTACCATCTGTGTGTGGTACCTGTATGTCGTTGTGAGGATTCCAGTCTGAGTCGAAGATGACGACGGTGTCAGCTGTGGCCAAGTTGATCCCCAAGCCTCCGGCTCTCGTGGAGAGCAGGAAACAAAACTGACAAGCACCAGGAGCTGGAAAAATGTTAGAGAAACATACAGATAATAATATAGAATATTTTCTATTTAATGGCAGAATCCTATTGATACTAATACAAATGTAGATACAGGAAATACTGATAAGTTCCAGATTTGTATATTGATTGTTTTGTAAATCTTTAAACTTGAAGAGTTTGTTTTTTTACTTAAACCTTTTACAATTCTGAATATTTATGTTTGAAATATTATCAACAATTGACATGTGACTTATCATGCTCCAAATTTAATTTATAACTTATAAGTGTACTAAGTTATCTGATTTTCCCATTGCAAAAAGTAGCTGTCGCATATCTGAAGCAGGGTCTTTGATAAATAGAATTTTCTAGTTTATATCTCGCAAACTTCACATATTTAACCTAAAGGGTTAAAGATTTTGAGAAGTGTGTTTTGAATTATTGATTCAAATCTTATCGATAACTCAGTGCACTTTATAATACAAGCCACATTCCCACGCTGACGGTGCAGCAATTTGGAGATTCAGTGTTGATTCAGTCTTGCCCAAGGACACTTCTTTCAGCTTGAGGACTGGAGGAGCCAGGAACCAAACCACCAACCTTCTGGTGAGTGAATTACAGTGATAATAGGCAAAACTCTGATAATGTGTTTTGCATAGTTTTCCCATGAGGCTCTAAAGTCTCATTACAGGTTAATATTTCACAAGAGTTAGCCTGAGGTGCCAAATGCACCAGTATTGACTTCATGAATGCATCACTCACCTGCAGGCTATGATTCAGAGAGTATGATTTAATAGCTTTCCTTGACAGCAGCTGCTTAGTGATACGGCAAAGCTTCACTTGAAAACAAAGTTAGCATGCCCCCCGGTGTTCATCACGCTTTGCAATAGGAATATATCAGTAATTGTAGCTATTGGTGTCACAGCAGAAGGACACTGTGTCATTTTGACACTAATTCTTCTAAATTATAGGTAATTGTCGGTATTCATTGCTTTACCCGAATGTCCTTTCAACATCCACCTCCTATCACAGCAGAAGTGGAGGGTGAACTATGAACTAGGGGTGGGTGACATGGATAAAATCCCCTGTCACGCTATATGTAGTTTTATATCATTATATTCATGAAGATAAAATACATGATCTTGAAAACCAGCTGTGAATGTGTTTTATTCTTCATTTGGATTGTGAAAAGACAGAGTGCCTGTTTTTGTCTAATGACGCAACATTAATGTGTGACAAATAAAGGAACATCATCAAATCCCATGTCAGCAAGTTCCTTATGTGCAGAGCACTCCCAGAGATGTCTAAAGGAGACATATGATGATTTTTCCCTGACCTCAAGTGTGTTGTTTCGTTTTGTATGTAACACATTTGCAGGTTAAGTTAAAGTCTGCAGCAGAGGGAGCTCCTCTCCCCCACAAAAAACACTGAAGCCCCTAAAATGCCTCGTCAGTTCTTCAGCCGATACTTCCGGGGAATTGTGATGGCCCACATTTGCATAGTGCCCTTCCAGCAGTTAGTCTGCCACGCCCCCTAGCAAAGTCAGGCAAAGCGAGAGCGGAGAACATTTTCTACATGCGCTGGAAGCAGTTGACCAATCACAACAGAGCGAGCCAGCTGGCCTTAAGCCTACCCCTCCTACTACACTAACACCATTAATCATCCAAACAGGACGGCAAGAAAAAGTTTTGTTCTCATGCCCCCCCTCCCCCATAAAAACAAAAGGCAAACTGCGACATGATTTTTTTCTTTAGAAAATTCTTCTGATTCCTGCTTGAATCAGCAAACGTTCACTGACTGACTCTGCATCTTTAAAATGTCCCAAGTCACCGAGAGAACTCTTTGACTTACTGCACTTTAAATGACTGCACAACATCCAGTATCTCACCATTGAAGCGGTCAATGGCCTCTTGTCTCAGTGCTCCCGTGACGCCTCCGTCAATTCTCTCGTACTTATAACCCTCGAAGTCCAGGAAGTCTTCTAACAAGTCCAGCATTTTAGTCATCTGCAAACAGAGGAGAGGGAGAGGGAGAGAGAGAGAGAGAGAGAGAGAGAGAGAGAGAGAGAGAGAGCCAGTGATGTGTGTACTTGATTACACACACACACGCACAGCTGGAACCGCAGTCTGCAGCTGAGCCTTCTGGGTGGTGTCATGGAAATAATATAACATCTGTGAAGGGTGATATCCATCTGGTGTGTGTTTATACACTTGTCTGTGCTTGTGCATTGTCTGTGCTTGTGCATTGTGTGTGTGTGTGTGTGTGTGTGTGTGTGTGTGTGTGTGTGTGTGTGCATGTACCTGTGAGAAGACAAGCACTCGGTGCCCCTGCTCTTTCAGTTTCCTCAGCATCTTTTGCAACAGCGTCAGTTTCCCAGAAGCCTTAGTGAGGGCCGACCCCTCGTAAGCACCGCTGGGTGTTTTCTGAGCTTCCTACAATCGACACCACAATGGAAACAATCATACATGACATTTAAATGTGTGCTGATGCAATGAGACATCAATTCTTGCATTAAGCGGTTGATAAAAACATTACCTTAAATTACCACAAGGTGTCATTGCTACTCAATTTAGGATAAAAAGTGAAAGGTAAAAGAAGTGAAATGCAAGCAAATCAAAATGTGTGTGTGTGTGTGTGTGTGTACCATGGAGGCAACAGGAAAGAGGTAGGGGTGGTTGCAGCACTTCTTGAGGTCCATCATGATGTTGAGCAGTGACACCTGGTTTCCTCCTCCCTTTGAGTTCAGAGCCTCGAAATTCTTGGTCAGAATCAACTTGTAGTATTTCCTGTGTTTAAAAAAAAAACAAAAAGGTGAAAAGAAGAAACTAATCAGTGTAAATCACATGACTTCCTTTCTTTGTCTCCTCTCCACCCTCCATTGTCCAGTTTTTATTCTCATTTGTTTTCTCCTGCTGGTGCAATGGAGTTTTTCCACTTTCAACTTCAAAGTTTTGTATTAATTTATAAGATACTGAGGGAACCAACTTTTAACCAGTGGAAACTTAATGAAGGACTTTAAACTGGATTAAACATTATTTTTCTGTCTATGTCTTGTTAGTGTGGGGCGGGATCCCCATAAAAAAAAATAATTGTAATGAATTTCTAATGTGTTGTAATTCTTTTGTTCTCAAAGAAGAGGTTTAGCTCACACAGCAGCCACAGGGCTTTTCAAAAAATCCAAATAACCACAACTTATTAATCACGTTTTATGGAAATTGTAAAAATGTCAGGGCTTCTAGTTTAAAACTGGGTTAAATTAGTATGAAAATATATATTTTAAAATGTCTGCATTGAAGCACTTTGCCAATATTTATTATTATTACTATTTGACTCTTTCAACATAAGGTCATTCTGAAGGAAGCAGACACACACTTAAAAACTTGATAAGCACTAGGTGCTGGACATACTACCCCCCCATCGTCATACTTCTGCATAGGGCTCAGCTCCACTCTGACAATCAGCTCAGTCTTGGCGGGCATGTTCTTGAAGACGTCGGCCTTCAGCCTCCGCAGCATGTGAGGTCCCAGCAGGTCGTGGAGCTTCTTGATCTGGTCCTCCTTGGAAATGTCAGCAAACTCTTCCAGGAAGCCCTCGAGGTTACTGTGCGCAGTGACGAGGGTGGTTATTCCGGCTGGTTCTTTACAGTAATTTAAGGAAAAATACGGTATGTGTATATTTGTGAGATTACTTGAAGCGGTTGGGCGTGAGGAAGTTGAGCAGGTGGAACAGCTCCTCCAGGTTGTTCTGCAGAGGAGTTCCAGTCAGCAGCAGCTTGTGGTCGATCTTATAATCGTTCAGACGCCTGAAAAACTGTAAACAAAGACGAGAAAGACGTCAAATATATCACTTCAAATATAATTTTTCTCCTCAAGGGATAGTAGACCAGAAAAATCCTATAACAAAACCTCGGAATATATACATATATCGTTTGGTTTTTAGTATACTATATGAACTGTTAGTGGATCTGGTTTAATAAAGTACACTGAAATTTACTGAAATAAAATGAAATTGCATCAAAAAACTCAAAAGGTATTTTACATGATGAGTATAATGTTGCTGTTACATAGTTTGTCCACCAGAGGACTGACACCGTCCTGTTAACACATATTAGGATCAGTTCTTTAAAAAACAAATTAAAAAAAACTCGTGTTTACAAATCCCAACGAACTCTGACCAAATAAGAGATGTTAAGACTTTAAATAAAAAATGTAAAATTAAATTAAATGAAACCACTTTGATAACACTACACCCACACAAATAATTCTTTATCTAATCATTTTTTCCTTTTCCTTTAATTAATCTTGTGCACACACATTCCTCAATGTTGAAACCCCCGGCACTACACTACACTGATGTTTTCAAATGCACACACGAGCTGTGGTACCTTGGACTGGTTGTTCTTAAGTCGGTGAGCCTCGTCCACCACCAGACAGGCCCAGTCGATGGACTTGAGTGCCGTCTGGTCGATGGTCACCAACTCATAGGACGTCAGCAGCACATGGAATTTAATAGGAGCCTCCCTCTGCCGGAAGAGGAGCACAGACAGAAGGATGAGCAGAAGTCATTTCCTATCATGTTGTTTTCTTACATTTGATAAGTTATAAAATGCAAGTTGAAAATGTTTTACTCATAAGTTTACTGATAAAACTCACCCTCAGTTTAAAGGTCTTCTTTCCTCCTTTGACAGCCGTGTCGTCGAAGGAGAACTCGTTCTCTCTGATGATGGCTCGACTATCCTTGTCTCCCGTGTACGTCACTACGTAGAAGTCAGGTGCCCACATCTCGAACTCCCTCTCCCAGTTGATGATGGTGGAGAGCGGAGCGCTGACCAGGAACGGGCCCTTAGTGTGACCCTGAGGAGCAGAGAGAGAAATATCCACACTCTGCTTCGGTATCATCATTTACAGGGAGGTGGAAATAAGACAATGACAGAAAGACGCAGCTCTGGTACCTCTTTGAAAAGTGAGTAGAGGAAGACAATGGTCTGGATGGTTTTGCCGAGGCCCATTTCATCTGCGAGGATGGTGTCGGTGCCCTGGGCCCAAGAAAACCGCAGCCAGTTCAGACCCTCGAGCTGGTACAGATGCAGCGTCCCGCCTGTCGTTGTGACAAAGTCTGGCTGCTCTTCGTATTTAATCGTCGGCTGGAGATACAGAAAATGATAAGAAATGGAGATTTGGTTTAAAACATTAGGATATAAACAGGAAGCTGCTGTAAATCCGACGCCACGATATGGAAACTCCAGGAATAGTTGACTCACGTCAGTGACTGGTGAAGCAGGAGACTCCTCTTCATCCTCCGGGTTCTTGCTCCTCATCTTCCTGGGTTTGTCTGGATCCTCCTTCATTATTAAATCTCTGTTGGATAAGAAGAAATGATCCAGTAAATGCATTAATCAGCCAAGTGACAAAACTCCTGAATCTGCCCTCTTCATCAATCAGCTCCAACGGTTTATGGTTTCTTCCTTTTCCCATACTGAAACTTATTAAAATCAGTTCACTGGTTTTTGCATAATCCAACTGACAGACGAAAGTGTGACCTCCTTAGCAGAGATAAAAATTCACTTTCAAATACTTTCACTGCAGTCTGAGATTATTTGCATAAAAAGCTTGTTACAATCAAAGATTCTTTGTTTTTCTAGTTTTAAACCTGTACAGTTTAACAGTCGGTCGGTTCTACCTGTGCCTCCAGTAGTTGGCCTTGTAAATTGCAAAATCAGGGATATCCATGTCGTCTCTCTCCCAGGTGCACTGGTCGTAGGTCAGGTCTTTCCACTTCACCAGGTAGTGGTATGTCCCCTTCTTGTCCACACTGACAGGAGGACAAACAGCGATAGCTAATGTTATGTTATTGTGCTACTTAAATTAAATATAGATCACTGAACAATAGCACCAACTTTAAAAATCAACCTTTAAACACTCCAGCAAAAACGTGAAATGAAGCCCAGAAAGTGAAAGTAAAGTCCCGTACCTGTGATTGATGATGCGGTGGATCATCATCCACTCAGGCTTGATGCCATACTTGTAGTATTTGTCATCCAGGATTGCGTACTGGGGATCCTTAGCCCTCCTCTTTTCGCTCTTTCCCACTCCGTTCTCGTCTTCTCCTCCTGAACCATAATCCAGACTGGGAGGCTCGTCCATGTCCGTCTTCCTCTGGTAGTTTCTGTACATCACTGAGTGGAAGATCTCCAGCTGGAGGAAAGACAGACAAAGGGGAAGAGAAAGGGAAATTATGATTTCTTGGTTGAAAGCATTTACGAGCGCTAGATGGAATTGTTCTGCCAAAGTCTTGATGTCTTTCACAGTCCTCCATCCTTGTGATCTAGTCTTTATTCTGTATTTGAATCTCACTTCTCATTCATCCCATTCTCACCTGGAGCTCGGTGATCCACGTACAGTGCCAGTAAGACTGTCCGACCAACTTGACAAAGAACTCCCTCTCGGCTCTGCCCTTCATGGGTGGCGGCGGTGGTGCGTCAGGCGGGGCATCAGGAGCCGGGGGAACAGGAATCGGCGGTGGTGGCTCTCCCCACCGCCAATGGAGGATTTTCTGGACGCGACCTTTGATTTGTGGACACTAGAGCAAGAATACACGTGATAATCAAAATCTGAATATGGATGTCATAGAAATATGAGATTTGTTACCGGTATGGGAGAACATCCTTGGATGACAATATATGTATAAAATATATAATATACAGCCATAATGATCTTTTGCATTCGTTTTCTTAATATGAAAAGTCATAAAACAAGTGAACAATCAGATAAAACAGATGTGAGAGCAGCGGAGTAACAAACCGTGCATCGTGGACACAGCCACTCTCCGTTGGGGATCTCTGGCAGCGGTGGGTTTAGACAGTGGATGTGGTACGACGAGGTGCAGGTGTCGCAACACAACAGTTCACCTCCATCTTTGCACACCCGACAGAACTCCATGTGGTCATCATCCTCCTCCTCCGCCCCGGTGGGGACCCCAACTCCAGCCCCGACGTCTGATATTACTCTGTCCTCGCTGTCCTCTTCAAAGTCCTCAAAGTCCTCGTCCTTTGCTTCCCACTGGATTCCTTCTTTTTCCTGGCAAAGGATGAAGAAGAGGGAACACAGTATATGAAAATCTGAAATGAATGAAACTTAAAATGCTTTCTTCTAATGAACATTTATCCATCCATCTATCGGAATAAAGGCATGCGTAAGTTAAATCGACTTGTGTAGTTGTACTCACGCAGTGCGGGCAGCTCCACTTGCCCTCGGGGGCCTTGTCCAGCTCAGGCTCCAGACAGACGAGGTGATAAGCTCTGGGACAAGTGTCACACAGGATGATCTCCCCGCCCTGCTGACACACCTCGCAGTAGTCCTGATGATCTGTCTCGTAGCCCTCCCCCTCCTCTTCCCCAGGGACTGGAGGTGGGCATGAAATGACACATAAAGGGAGGAAACAGAAGGAACTTTTATACGACGGGGATTGCTTTTCACAATAAAACATACCTTAAACTGAAAAAATTGCTTGAGCATACAAATGTCTTGAAAGTCAAGTGATCGAGACCCAACTGAAACTGGAAACTTTGCAGGTTTTGTGTAAATAACCATCCAGGTCACTTTTCATAACCATTTGCATTATGTGACTTGGTGCAAAGTAGCAGCAGATCTCAACTTGTCCCAGGAGCTTGTTAAGAGATGTGGACATGCTCAACTGTATATCATTTATGATCGTATGCTGTTCGCCTTACTTTTCTTCTTCTTCTTGGCAGGACGTCCTCGCTTGTTCTTCTTGACACGGCTGGAGCTGTCAGAGCGAACCGAGGAGCTGTGAACGCTGGAGTCCTCCTGCTCAGACTCCTCGTCCTCTATATCCTCGCTCTGACGAAGAACAAGAAAGAGCCGAGGAGAAGGAAAGAAAGTGAACGAAGTGTGTTTACATATCTCCTTCTACTGCATTCAGCACATCATGACCTTTACACTCACGGAGCAGCTCTTCTTCCTCTTAGCACCTATGGGAGATAGCTTGATACGGATGGGTGCCATCTTTTTAGCCTTTGCTAAGGCCTTTTTCTTGTCTGGGACTCGAGGGCTTTTACTGCGTTTTTTGTAGCCAGGGCCTGGACAGATAAGAAGATCATATGCAATGGTTGTGATAAAAGAATGACAAGGTACTGTGCATGCTGTATTAGCAGAGTGTGTAAAGGTGATGTTTGGATCTATGGTACACTTAGTTTACTGCGAGTGTAAAGCTGACGACTGACCTTTGCCCTCTTTCGTCTTGGCTTTCCGGATTGGTGGTGGCTGTGGCAGCGGCTCAGGTGAGGCAGTCGCTGCAGAGACCTGCTCGGCGACAGCAATGGCAGCAGCTGCAGCAGCCGCCGCGACGGCAGCGGCGTTGCCCTTGAAGGGGTTGTTAGAGCTGAACTCCCTCCATTTGGCCCCCAGGATGGTCATCATCTTCGACATGGGGATCTTAGGGTTCTTCTTGGCGATCATCGGCCTGTGAGCGAGAGAGCAGGATCGTTGAAAAGATAAAAAACGTGGCAGAACAGGCATAGAGCAGACATCTGACTTAAATTAACCTAATTGAAACCGCCGCTTCTTTCTGTTATTAGAATTTAATGAAAAATGGTTCAAATCACTTGTACATGTATTAGCCACAGGGACAGTTTCTGTAGAAAGCCAGCAGTATCTTTAAAAGCTGTAAACTTTAAGCGGAAGAACTTCAACGACAATTTGACTGAGACGTTTTCCTCAACATTTCAATCTGCCAGAGGAATTGAGTTGATCCGAATTTGACTGCAAAATAACCACCCAACACACACACACACACATATTAGGCATAATGGATTACTCCATCTTATCAGAGCCAGTGCAGGTTGGAATCAGCCACAGGGACCGAGGCACAGGCTGACACAATGACATACTGACACACTGGCTAACACAGCCAGATGACACGATAAAGACGCAAATGCCAGAGGGAGACACATTCAAGTAATAGTACTTTGAACTCAAGGCTCCTGGATCAGTGTTAAGTCATGGACAGTTGGCTGAGATGAAACTTTTGATCTCCTGAATACTGTGTACTTGATCGTTAAAATCCTACGTCAACTTTGGAAACATTAAACACTGTCACATGTGATTAAGTAATGAATTTCGAAATAACACTGGACATAAGCTGGTTCATCACCGTGTAAAAAGGAAAGCAGTGTGATACCTCATGAACTGGCTGAAGGCTTTGTAGTTGGTGAGTTCCCTGTAGTCTTCCTCTGTGAAGGTATGATCAACATCCTCCAGACCCCACTCCTTTGCCAGCTGGGCCGAGTTCTTCTGCTCTATTGGTTGCTGAGAAGAACCCACCAATCAAATGAAAAGGGTCGTGACACAAACAAGGACGGACGTACCGTAGATGTGTTTGAGCAATCACTCTTTACCTTTGTCGTTTCCTCCTGACTGCTGTCCCGGTCCCCATCATCTTTTTTCTTCTTCTTGGTTTTCTTTTCTTTCCTTTCTTTATGTTTCCTCTTTTTCTTTTTCTCACCAGATCCATAGTCGCTGGCGACACTGTCTGAGTTCTCACCGTAGTCTCTTTCTCTGTCCGAGTCTCTCTCTACATTGCTGTCCTGAAGAGGGCATGAAAGAGGAAGATGTTGTAAAATAATTAAGATGTTGTGATAAAGTTATCAAAGTGAGAAAAATCCAGCGTGTCACAGTTTAACAAACGTACAATTTTCTTGCGTTTCTTTGCTTTGGCAGGTTTCCCCTCTTTGTCCTTCTTCTTTGTGTCCTTCTTTTTCTTCGGCCGTCCTTTCTTCCTGCACGGGACCTCTCTGTCTGATGCCTCTGCCTCTTCTTCTGGGAGGAGCGCAAAGGGGGGAGTTAACGAAAGCATGAAAAGACAGACAGCTATCACAATCAGATGAACAATAATCTACTCACAACACTTCCTAACAAGCCGGCTAATCCCCGCCGAACATAATTACACACAACAAAGACCTGCATGATAGCCAGTGTGGCTGCAGCGACCTCTGACCTTTTCTGAATTACGCCACATGCTAAGCTAGATACAGTTTGTCAATGGGCTAAGTCGATTTGACAGCTGGTGTTGGCGGTGCCACAGATTAGGGATAATTGGTTTATGGTGACGCAAAAGTGTGACAAGTCATCTCTGGTGAAAATTGTTGAGTTAGTGTTGAGTGAGTTGTTGATTTACAAGAAACAATAGAGGAACAACAATTCGAATCTGGGAGGTGCATTTTAAAAACATTTGCTATCAGGGAGCAGATGATGTGGAAATAATAAGGCCAGTTGTACCCTCATGGTACCAGGGTAATATCACAAGTACAGGGAAAGCAATTCAACCTGCAGCCTGACCTGACATGGAGTAAACAAGGAGTCAGCTGCAGCCTCAGCTTCAGACAAAATGCAGCAGAGCATTAAAGCCTGACCAAAATACAAGCGGCGTGTTTGTCTGATTTTATTGTCTGCCTGCTTTTGTTGGTGCGCGCTCCCTCCACAAGCAGCACCAGCAGCAGCACCAGTTCCCTCTCCCTCCTCCACCACCAGCCCCGCGTATCTATGCAGCGTGCCGCCGCCGAAGACGCGCCGGCGGCGGCAGCAGCACGCACGCAGGGCCCGGTGATCCAGAGGCCGCTGGCGGTGAAGTGGAACGACTTTTCTCCCCCCTGCGGCTCTGTTATTCCCACAGCGGGGACCGTGACCACTTCTGTGGCCGCTGCTAGAGGTCGTGAGGGGGTTAAGGTCCAGCCTGACACTAATCTATCCGTCTGGCACGGTCTGGCACGGCATGGCGGCGCGTCCGGAGCCGAGCAAATTAAAGACAATGCATCGCATGATTCCTGTAATATGGATATATAGAAAAATCACACTTTTAGCCATCTTATCACGGAGTAGCCTCACGCTCCCTCCTTAACGAAACATTAAGTGTTTTCTACCACATCTGCATTGCATCCCAGCCAAAGCCTCACCATATTTTATGCATGTTATAAATGATGTGCTCTACTTTCTGCCCCTGCAAACCAACTTCTGTCACAGCAACTTCCAGAAAGCCACGTGCATATCACTACAGCATCAATATCCCTATATTGCTGCTGAACGTCTGCACCTCCTGCAAAAAAAAACATGAGGATGAACTGATAACCCAGCTAATTAGAGAGCAGGTATGCTCAGCTACCAGAGGGATCTGCACCCTCATGTCCTGGAAGTGAGCAGCAAGCAGCAGTGTCCTATTTTGACCTGTCATAGCCACAAAGGGGCAAAGGGAAAGGGGGGGGAGTGCTACGATTTCACACCATCATCCGGCTTTTGTGTGAGCACAGCAACAAGCATCACCTCCTCTGGAGATGGGTATCCAGCACATTTATATTTATGCACAGCCTGGGGCCAGAGGACTCCATGTTTCCAGCCTGCACCCAGCCTTCAGGGCGACCTTGTTACCCCACACTGCTGCATGTCAGGAAACTGTCAAGAAGATTTAAGGGACAACTTCCCCCTCCTTTCTTTTTCATGGTGGATATTAAGTGACCACAAAACCCAGCTGTGACTGAAGTTGGTTTTAAAACTTTTGCTGGTGGAGAAGAGGAAGCGGAGGACTGAATGGGGCCATTGAAGAAAACAGCACATCTGGATTTACATGCGTTTTTCCCTCTCGTGTTGCAGCTGCAGGTGTGTTCATGCATGTTCAGCAACACGTATGTACAATAACTACATTGGACAAATAATCAAGACTGTTATCACTATTGTTATTATAGTTATTGTCATTATTACTATTGTGTGTTTTCATTTTACAATCTGCCAGAGTCATCTTCTACTGTACCATACTGGACGTGTGGAGAAGCTCCGGACATTAGCACAAACTGCGGATGGACTCCGGACACTGTCTCCATTCCTGCACAAGTAAAGTGTTTTTATTTTCTGTTAACTTCTGTGCTGTGCCACACTGGACTTGTGGACAAGCTCGGGACATGAGACACGAACTGCGGCTGCACTCCGGACACTGTCTCCATTCCGGCACAAAAAGTAAAGTGTTTTTATTTAATGAGCACTCCTCTCTACTGTGCCATACTGGACGTGTGGAAAAGCTCCGGACATGAAAAAAAAAACCCAACCAAACTGCGGCTGCACTCCGGACACTGTCTCCATTTCTGCACAAAGTAAAGTGTTTTTATTTTTGGTGTGCGCGCTCCCGTCTCCTGGTCTGTTTTTACCTGGCGCGGCGGCGGCGGCGGCTGTTGCAGTTTCCCGAGGCGCCGCCGGAGAGTTTATGTCGCTTGCGTCCTCGTCTCGGTCCCCGTCGTCGTCTTCTTCATCGAAATCTCCTCCCTCGGAATTAACCACCATGCCCTCGTCTTCCTCGCAGGAGCGGAGCGGAGAGGACATTATCCTCCTGTCATCGGGATCCGTCCTCGTGTTCTCGGAAAGCGGCGCGGGGTTAAAAAAAAAAAAAAAAGAAAGAAGATTTTTCTCGCGCGGATGTTTGATATTTATTTAATATTCAAATCTGCACGGGAGAAAAGTGGGGGGCGTTTTGGAATATTTTACACTAGGCAGAGCAACAAAGATGGCCGCCCTCTTATATTTATTTTTTAACAACCCCCCCAATAAGAAAAAATCCCCTTACATAAAAAATGGCTGACTATATTATTTCAGAACGCGCCCCCCTCCCTCCCTCCCTCTGTGCGCGGCTCTCTCCCGTGCGCGCCCCCTCCCTCCGCAAAAACGTACACATTGTTGCAAAGGGGGGAGAGAGAAAAAAAAAAGGGGGTGGGGGGGGGAGTTGCGAGTGCATGTGAGTTACATTGTTACTTGTTTGTTTCTTTACTGTCTGCCCCCCCCTCCCTCCCTTACACACACACACACACACCCTCCTCACTCTCTCTCTCTCTCCCTTTACTCCCCCCCCCCCCCCCCACCACAAAGTCCGGATCGGTCACGAATCCGACCCACTCCCCCTGGTGTCACTGTCACTTTTGCAGGATCACACGCGACAACTCTCGCTTTCCTGCATTGCAGAGCCCGACACACATCTATCAAACATGGCCACCTTATATTCTCACTGGAGCCCCCACCGTGGTGGAAAGAAATATTTTGGAGCACTGTGCGTGTGAGTGTGAGTGCTGGGGAGGGATTCAGAGAGAGAGAGAGAGAGAG